GGCATGGGGCCAGGTTACCTGAAGGACCGCCTTGCCCCCACGATTTCAACCCGTCCCACCCGATCTCACAGAGAGGGCATGCTCCGGACCCCCGCGGTAAAAGAACTTCGATTAGCAGGGTCCAGAAGGCGGGTCTTCTCTGCTGTAGCCCCCATCCTTTGGAACATCTTGCCCCTGGAGGTGAGACAGGCCCCCTCATTCCAGGCCTTTCGGAGAGATTTGAAGACCATCTGGCCTGGGGCGGGGAGGGAGTATGTCAGAAATGGGGTTCACTAGCCCCTTAGCGGCCTGGTGTGGCCTCTATTGGCCTCTTGGATTTTTTAGCCTTTTTAGCTCTGTAAGTGTGGTTCTTTTATAACTTTTAATCATGTAAACCGCCCAGAGTCCCCCATTGTGGGGAGATGGGCGAAGACAAGTCTATTAAATAAATAAATAAATAAGTAAGTAAGTAAGTAAGTGAAGCGCCAGAGCACGGATCCCTGGGGGAGGTTGGCTGGGGCGGCCCAGGAATGAGATGGGCTGTCCAGAACCCACTGGAAATGCTGAATTTCAATTTAAGGTTCTTAGCCTGGGCCTGAAGAAGGCAGAGTAAAGCCTCTCCTTTTGCAGACAAAGGGGCTCTTCTCAGGGCTTGGATCCCGCCACTTGCTCGGAAGTGAAGAGGAAGCCCTTTCCTTGAGGAGCTGCCCCAGGCAGTGCGTGATGGTGCCTGTGGCTGCGGGGTCAAGCCACAGGGCACCAGTGTTAAGACCCCGAACCAGAGAAATTGTTTTTGGAAAGGGAAAGAGCCATTGCATTGAAGCCTGTCCAAAGAAACACAGCTCTAAATCCTTTCCGTCTCAGAAATTTTATTTATCTATTTATGCATCTCATTTATGTAGCCGCCCATTGCTCACAAAGCGACTCACATTGCACGGGGTGGGGAACGGCTTTTGGGCGCATAGCTTTCGAGGAATTCCTGGCTCTGAGGCCAGCCATGTCCACAGCCCACAGGGCGCACTTGCACCTTCCTCCCAAGAGGAAGTGGTTTTCTCGCTCGGGGAGAACACAGAGTTGGGTTGGCTCAGGAGACTTCTCTCACAGGTGCAACCCGCGCGTTTCTTGCCTTCCAGGACTTGCCTCTGGAAGAATTTAAACCATTCGAATATTAGTAGATGTTTTCAGCCAAATCATTAGCAAGCTTAGAAGGAAGTAGATGCATAAGAAAAATTTCTGTCTTTCTCTGTGGGTAGGCTTCAAGCAGGAAGTTCGTCAGGGCAAATACAACCAGCTGAAGCTGAAACTGTTGCTTGACAATTAGGTACCTTTAGCAGGCACAGCGTAGCAACTCGGGTCTATTTTAACATTTTTTCTTTTAAAGGTAGTCTTCGCTTAACAGTGGTAAGTGGGACCAACAACCCCATCGCTAAGCAATGCTATTGTAAAGCAGCATCATATCAGATGACTGCAGGATGTTGAAACATAATTGCGAGCCAGTAGCCAAGCACCTGAGTTGCAATCACGCAACTGCAGGGACGTTGTGATGGCCACAACTACGAGGATCTGTCATAAGTCCTGCTTGTTCATCACTGTCATAACTTTGAACGGTCACTGAACAAATGGTCGTTCAACAAGGACTACCTATATATAATTAATTTGTACCCAATCGCATTAATAATCTTGCATTTCCTTGTTGCTTGATTATAAATGCACCCTGTTTCTGATGTGTTGTGGTCTTGCCCATGGAGTGGTGCTGAGTTGGCCGACATGTGCTTGTCCTAGTTTTGCAAAGCCATTAGAAAGTGGAGACTGAAGTGCTCTCTTGAGTAGACAAAACGAACCTCAGCTTGAGGAAGGGAGAGAAAACTTGTAAGTCTAGAAGTTCCCTCTTGCAGATTTTCTCCAACAGTTTCCAAACCCAGAGAAGATCAAAATAAATAAAGTGTGGTCATGTCCACACATATAATATACACAAGGACACTCTGTGCATGCCATGCTACTTGTATTCACTGCCCCAAAAGACGATTGGCTTGGAATTGGGCTGGCCACACGCCATGCACCTTTTCACATGACTCAATGGTGAGGGAGCGCCAACTTCCTTTCAAGTCTCCCCACGCCCCAGATGGCTCTGCAGCGGCCTCCCTACCCCTTGCTTTCCAGTTCCCACCTGTGTCTTCTTTCCCCAGGGTGGTGCGCACATTATCTGTGGGGTCCCAGGGAAACCTCACCCCTTTCTCCCCTCCCTTGCAAGATCCCCTGCCATGGCAGGCAGCATCCGCCAGGGGGCTCCCTGTGCCAATGCCAGAACTGGCAGCTGCTGAACTTCCAAAGGAACTGAGCATGCGCCTGGCCGTTCTGCCAGGAGAGGCTGGTATCTGGAGAACGTAAACGGAGTATTTGGGTTTTTTTAGGGTGACAGGAAGTGAGTGCATCAGCCAGTGTCTTCCCCATTGGATCCAATGCCCACCCTCATTTTTAACCCTGAACTTAGCATAGCAAAGAAGCTGCAGAAAATGCTTGCGGGGACGGGAGGCTGGGAGTGGTGACGTCCAGGAGAAACACGACCTGCTTGGTGGCGGGAAAGGTATTCCTTCCTGATGGCAAGTCCTGTGGGGGGAGGGGGGAAGAGCCCGGGGGTGCCGCCTTCCAAGCTTCCCCCACTTTGTGCAATTCCTCCGGCATTTTTGCACCATCTTCTGGGCGGGAGAAGCCCAGAGCAGAGTCACAGTGGCTGTGCAAAAGAAAAAACAACAACCCTAAATCGGGAGGAAAGGGGCCAATTTGGGAGGAGGGCATAGGAGGACCTGTTTCAGCAATCGAGAACAAGAGGGAAGGAAAAAAACATCAGTGGCCCTAAAAAAAGGCCCTTTTTTTCCAAAGAACGGGTACTTGGCAAAGTCCCCCCTTTTATCCTTTTTGTTTTCTGCAAAAGCCATTTCTCTACACAAAAGAGAACATAGTGCTGGGCAGAAAATGAATACCTGACCCTTCCAAGAGAGCTCTCCAAGGAACCTGGTGCTTTGTTTGGGCCAGTGTCTCCCAGTTGCGGTTGTGTGTCAGTGTGAAGGCAGGAGCAGAGGAGGCTGGAAGGATGTGGGTTAGAATGGTCCCTAGAGATGGAAAAAGACAGCAGGGTGCTTTGGAGAGGCCACCGTTCTTCTAAGCTACTGGATATGTGTGCGTGTGCACACGTACGCACAATTGTGAGCGATGCTCTTTTCAGCCACTGTTCAGGAGCCATCAGGAAGAGAAGGGAACAGCCTGGAGGCTGCCTTCCTTGCTGGCCCCCCCAATGGAGACACCTCCGTCCAGGTCAGATGCTAGGAACGAGGCTTCAGATGGTTCCCAGGAGCTTCCCCCTGTCCTCATTGCACCCTGAGAGGCCTCCTAGGAAGGTCCTTTGGGCCTCCTGGTTGAGCAGAAAAAGGGCAAAAAGATTGGGGGGCAGAGAGGCTGTTT